AACTTACGTTACGTTATAGTTAGTAGTGTACTAGTAGTAGTTACGTGTGTGTGTGTGTGTGTGTGTGTGTGTGTGTGTGTGTGTGTGTGTGTGTGTGTGTGTGTGTGTGTGTGTGTGTGTGTGTGTGTGTGTGTGTGTGTCTTTTCCTGTGTTTGTGCTCACAGCCATGTGTTTGTAATCTCCATTAAAGGAGGCCCACCAGTAGGAGGACAGAGACCTAATAATTGTTCAGGATTCTCATTAAACTCCACACATCTCATCTAAAGAGACATGAGCTTCCACCTATTTTAAGAAGAGGTTTTAACAGTTTGATATCTCTTAATCAAACTGCCAAATTTAGTGTGATAGTTTTTCACAGTTATAAGACCTGAAACAACTCATCACTTAGCTGATTCTCTGACTCATTTTGTTTATCTATTCATAGACGAGCCCCATGGTAACATGATTTCCCAAAATATTTGATTCTTCCTTTTATAATTTTTTAGCCGTCCGTATTTCAAGACTGAATATGTCAGCGCAGGTGGTCTTGGTTGCCCTATTTTAAAGAGGCCATATTATGCTTTTTTGTGTGCCTGTGTTATATTCGTTGTTGTGCATGTAAATGGTCTGTGAAGGCTAGAATCCCAAAGCTTCTCTTCTCTCCCACACACTCCCCCTCCTTCCTGAAACGCCTCCATTGTACTCCTTTGTTTACTTCTTCAACATAGTGACATCACTTTGGAACTTTTTATCTCCAACACATTGTACGTGTCAGGCTAAGGGGCGGGACATCTCTGAGCTGATCATAAATCATAACAGATCCGCTGCAGATACACTCTTTACAACATCAGGAGGATACGTCCCCAGCTGACCCAGAAAGCGACGCAGCTTCTGGTCCAGGCTCTCGTCATCTCACGCCTAGACTACTGCAACTCCCTCCTGGCTGGTCTACCTGCATGTGCCATCCGACCTCTGCAGCTCATCCAGAATGCAGCGGCTCGTCTGGTCTTCAACCTTCCTAAATTCTCCCACACCACGCCGCTCCTCCGCTCCCTTCACTGGCTTCCAGTAACTGCTAGAATCCACTTCAAGACACTGGTACTTGCGTACCATGCTGCGAATGGATCTGGCCCTTCCTACATCCAGGACATGGTTAAACCGTAAACCCCAGCACGTGCACTCCGCTCTGCATCGGCCAAACAGCTCGCTGCACCCGCACTGCGAGGGGGACCCAAGTTCCCATCAGCAAAAACACGTGGGTTTGCTATCCTGGCTCCAAAATGGTGGAATGAGCTCCCCATTGACATCAGGACAGCAGAAAGCTTACACATCTTCCGGCGCAGCCGCGGTCTTAATTTCCAATCCTTAACACCGCGAGATGACACTCGTACAAAGTAGCGAGTGTTTCACAAGAATAAAAACGAGAAATGAAAAGTGGGAGGACAGACTTTAGCTCTAGGCGTCGGAACGAGACTAACCAACCTACCTCCTAAATTGTAATTCAATCGTACCGTAAAATCGACTGCGAAATAGGTTTCGCGAATCGTTATTCACCGCAAGCTGTCCTTCTATGTTTGAACTTCTTTGTCTTAGTATTATGTCATGTAGTCCAAAGTACCTCTCCCGATTTCTAAAGTTCACCGATGAGTGGACCGAAATCTAATTCCGGTCGGGAAATAAGTCAATATTGGTCGTCACCGAGACAATATTCAAGATAGCGATAGCTTCATCTCACGCTTCTCTACTCAAA